ATTGTTTGAAATAGAAGCAAATCTACATATTTTCAGAATCCAAGGGTGATAAAGACAACATGGTTGTTCTTTTGTGCAATTCTTTCCTCTGTTTGTTGGTGCTGGTTGTAAGTTGGCTTTATTGCCTTAACTCCTCTTCTTCCTTTTTCTTATATATAATCCTATCCATGTTCTAAGTGAAACTATCCAGCATGTTTGTTTATTTTGCCTCCTTAATATTCTGTTCTCATACTATCTAGTTTATCAGATGACTTCTTAAATGGAAGAATAAAGTAGTTTTGTTTTCTTCAAGCAAAATACTTTAATTGCACTTGCTAGGGGTGTGTACTAAACCTTTTAATTGAAAAAAAAACAAAACACTTTACTCTGTAATGCTAGGAAACCATAATCTGTTATTAGAATTCATATTAGCAGAGAGTTTTTTAAGAGTTAGGGTTACTGGAAAGGATAGGATCAGGGTTAGATTTAGTGTTAGGGTAGCTGTATGGTTAAGGTATTGTAAGGTTAGTGTTAGTGTAAGGTAGAGGTAATGCTGGGTTTGGGTTAATACTGTTATAAGATTAAAGATAGTGTAGCTTCACGGTTAAGGGTAAGATTAGGGTAGGTATATGGCTAGAGATAGTATAAGTATTGGGTAAGGGGTATGGTTGGCAGAGAGTTAGGAGGTCGGTATAGGATTAGCATTAAGTACCAAAACTTATCATAAACATATTAGGCATTTAATAATCAAGACTGACATATCAATTTATTTTGAGTTTGTTTCATATTGTTAACATGCTATTCATATGTAATGTAGTGTTAGGCATACATATTAAGATATTACAGGGACACTATAGTCACCAGAACAACTACAACTTAATGTTCTGGTGAGTATAGCCTGTCCCTGCAGGCTTTTTGCAGTAAACACTGTCTTTTTAGAGAAAATGCAGTGTTTACAATAGACTAGGGACACCTCTAGTGGCCACTCCTCAGATGGCTAATAGAGGTGCTCCCTGGGGAAGTGATGCACAGTATATCACTGACATTTACTGTTTACATCCTCTGTATGGTGGCACTGAACTTTCCTCATAAGATAGAGATCATCAGAATTGACAATCTCAGCCAATTCAATGCTTTCCTGTAGGAAAGCATTGTGATTGACTGAGATCATCACTTAATAAAGAACCTAAGGGGTCGAAACGTTGCTGTGTAGTTCCTGGTTCTAATAAAATTGCCTATATTTGGGAATTCGTTGGAGTGCCTGGATTACTTTCTATGTTTAATAATTTTACATTTGGTCCATTTTGGTACTGGGACCTGTCCATTGGAGCACCCCGGATTCCACGACAAGGGGTTAAGTGCACTTCCATTACCTATATATATTTGGCTGATGATGTCAGCCAATGAGGCAGATCAGGGGCAGAGCCAGCACCAGCAGACTTGAATAAAGATCCTTCTAAATATATTACTATATTTAGGAGGGCAAGGCATAGCTAAGGGGGCTAGATAATGTTTTTAACACTCTAGCGTCAGGAATAATGAAAGCTCTTTCTGTACTTTAAAAAACATTATATAATAGCTATGAGGCACTTTAAAAAAACAATAAAAAACAGAAATTACAATGCAATACACAAAGCAAAAAAAATATAAGAAACGCCATTTTTGTGTCAAGCCATCTGCAGAAAAAAAGGGAAGCTTAATTTTCATCTTACCTAGCGTAATTTTTTTATGAATGGGGAGCAACTAATTATCTTGGTGTGTTAGCTGACCACTCTAGCCAATCAGTGGTGTCCCTTCCCAGTGACACTCTGTGCTTCCTGTAACTCAGATTCAGAAGCCGAATGCCTCTTGGGGGTCCTGGAGATTGATGCTGGAGGCAACCATTGGGGTTAAAGCATTCAGGAACCCCTTAAGGTAAGAGTGTACCTGGGAGCCTCCTGATGTTGTTTAGATGAAGTCGTTATGGTGACTGGAGTGTTTCTTTAAATAAGAAATAATAGATAAAACGTATATTAGTGCAAATGGGTTAGTCATACTGCATTTGAATAATAACTAGGGCAGAGCAGGGCTTGCTCTATTTATGTGCTATATAGGTAGATAGACCTATTAAATGTAAAAAAAAATCATAATCTTCAAATCATTTTACAGTAAGGATTACTCATAAAAGAAAAATATAATTATGAAACAATAGAAGTGTCATTGTTTAAAATGAAAGGTGAGAGCTGTTAAGAAAAGTGAATTAGAATTTAAAATTATGAAGTACAATCTACACTTTTTTAGATTAATGGCAAACTGCTACATAGTGCAAATATTTTTTTAGCTATTTGAAAGTCTGCGTACATTAATACTCTCATGTCCTCATTCTTATAATAATCCATTTTTAAATTACATATTGCCACACCTACCTGTTTTTGTCTTTTTTTCAAATGTTGGCTGAGAAACAATACATTCATTTTCAATCAAGCAGATAAAAATAATGTCCTTTCTTACAGATATTGATTTGTTTGGCCTTACTTGGACTGTTAAGACTTATCACAAGACAGTACTGAGTACATTCACTAAACAGTGTAACACAGTGAATTGAAAACTGAATTGCGAGATTTATTCTTTTTTTTTTTTAAAACGATTTTTATTGAAACATAATTTTATATATAACAATAATCCATAGCATATGCACAAGTTCAAGTTATATACACAATCACGTAATTAATTACATTTCATAATAACATATGGCATATACTTGAGGCATAAGCCTAGAATAACAAACAATAACAAAGATAAAAAACAACATTCAAAGACAAAGAAAACAAAAGAGAAAACCAACCCCCATTCAGAGCAAGCAAATAAACTTGAAGAAAGGAAAATGACAATTGACAATAGTACATTATTTTCAGTATTTCTGTTTCTGAATTAACACAATCATTCCCACCTCTATTGTATTAACTATAATATAGTTAAAAACATTTCATAGGCATCAGCAACAATTTTGTATATTAAAAACTAGAAAGTTATTGTATATTATTAACAGAGATACTGTCTAAAGCTGAGACTAGCCAAAAATATGCTGGTATCTTTCTAGCCAATCGGAAAACCAGACATTTTTTTGGACAAAATCGTCAAATTATTTATGAGTTCATATTCCATATTGATTTGAAACATAATTTGATTAATCAATAACCGTTTTTGAAACGGAATAGAGTATTTCCACTGACGCGCAATGATAATTTTAACAGTGACTAAGCAATGTGTCACAAAACAAATATGTCTATGTGATTTAAGGTTCCAATTTAGGTGTAGAAGAGCAGAAACAACATTTTCGTTAATTTTATGAGCTGTCATAGTGGTAAAGATCTAAAATGCCCATGTCCATAATGGTCTAACTATAGGGCATGACCACCAAATATGAATATATGTACCCTGATAACTGTGATATTTATTCTTAAAATAATTAAGCTGTGACGATAAAGGAGTTGCAAAATCAGTTCATTTTTGTTCTCTTCAGTTCCCTACAATTAACATTCAATCAATAGCTATATGCCTTTATTTGTTCATAAAGGAACAATCTAATCTTTAAAGCACTTGAGTATGTCTATGGGCATCCACAGGGGAGGATTTTTCAGCTTGTTCTGCTATTTTTGTGTGAGATTGAAAATACACGGCAACCCAGCCAGTAGGTGGTGCAGTGTATGGAGAGATCGGGATAGGAAGCTACATCTTATCCCAGCTTCTCTCTCCTGACTGAATCCACAGGGGAGCAGCACATGCAGCCAGCAACTCCCAGAATGCAGAGACAGCCTACAGATCAGGTAAGTGAGGCATATGGGGGGCAGTCTATAGATCAGGGAAGTGAGGCATGGGGGAGAGCCTATAGATCAGGGAAGTGAGGCATGGGGAAGCAGCCTATAGATCAGGGATGTGAGGCATGGGGCAGCCTATAGATCAGGGAAGTGAGGCAAGGGGGGAAGCCTATAGATCAGGGAAGTGAGGCATAGGGGGCAGTCTATAGATCAGGGAAGTGAGACATAGGGGGCAGTCTATAGATCAGGGAAGTGAGGCATGGAGCAGCCTATAGATCAGGGAAGTGAGGCATGGGGGGCAGCCTATAGATCAGGTAAGTGACTGATGGAGGGCAGCCTATAGATCAAGGAAGTGATAGATGGGGGATCCACCAACAGATCAGGTAAATTAGAGATGGGGGATCCACCTACAGATCAGGTAAGTGAGGGATGGGGGGATCCACCTACAGATCAGGTAAGTGAGGGATGGGGGGAGACAGCCTACAGGAAGGGTCAGCAAGGAGCAGAAAATACCTATGTAAAGTAAGAGAAGGAGCAGAAAGGAGAAGGAACAGAAATAAACTGGAAGGGACATCAAGGAGTAGAAAGGGGCAGCAAGGAGCACAAAAGGTAAAGTAGGAGAAGGAGCACAAAGGAACAGAAATGAGCACGAAGGGTCAGCAAGTAGCACAAAGGGTCTGCAAGGAGCAGAAAGGGTCAGCAAGAAGCAGGAAGGGACAGGAAGGGTCAGCAAGGAGCTGGAAGGTAAAGCAGCACAGAGGTAAAGTAGAAGGAGCAGAAAGGGTCAGCAAGGAGCTGGAAAGGGCACCAAGGAGCATAAAGGGACAGAAGGAGCACAAAGGTGAAGTAGGAGAAGCACCAGAAATGAGCAGGAAGGGACATCAAGGGGCAGAAAGGGTCAGCAATGAGCTGGAGGGGCAGTAGGAGTACAAACATAAAGTAGGAGAAGGAGCAGAAATTAGCAGGAATGGTCAGCAAGGAGCAGGAAGGGTCTGCAAGGGGAAGCAAGAAGCAGGAAGGGATCTGCAAGGAGAAGGAAGGGTCTGCAAAGAGCAGGAAAGTACAGAAGGAGCACAAAGGTAAAGGAGCAGAAAGAATCAGAAGGAGCACAAAGATAAAGTAGGAGAAGGAGCAGAAAGGGTCTGCAAGGAGCAGAAAGGGATCAGAAAGAGAAAGGAGCAGAAGGAGCCAAGGAGGAGAGAAGACCATGTCAGAAGAAAAAGAAGACTGTATCAAATGAAGGAGAAGAAAAGGAGATTGGAGCAGGAAGGACACCTCCTGCTCCAATCTCCTTTTCTTCTCCTTCATTCCACTTTATTCTGGACACCACATCATAAGGTTTTGGTACCTGGGCCTGGCAGGGAAACTTTGGACCTTCTCATCTCCCCAGGTTAAAATAAAAATATCAGTGTTAACGTGTTCACTTTTATTTACTGAGTGTCAGGAAGCACAGAGTGCCGCTGGGTAGGGATGTCGATGATTAGCTAGAGAGGTCAGCTGGCACTCTAAGCCAATAAGTAGCTCCCCATTCATAAAAAAGTAAAACATGTTTATGAACCAGGAACTAGAAATTGGTTTAGAGCGTCAACTGACCACTCTAGCCAATCTGTAGCACCCATGCCTGATGTCAATCTGCACTTCCTGACACTCCGTTTCAGAAGTCGAATACCACTGAGCGACCTGGAGATCTGGAGCTGGAGGAAACCTTTGGGGTTAAACCATTTGAGAGCTGCTTAACATCTTAAAGGAAAGAGAGCACCCAGGGGCTTCCTGGCATCATAGCATTTTCATTTAGATGGAGTTGTTATGGGGACAAGAATGTTCCTTTAATTTGCTTTAACCCCTTAAGGACCGAGGACGGTTCAGGACCGTCATCGGCATTTTTGCCTTGCCGACCGATGACGGTCCTGAACCGTCCTAACGGTCCAATGTACTTACCTGATCGCCGTCGTTCCCCCGGCGGCGATCTGTGGTGCTCCCGGTGTGGGGCGACTGCCTGCAGCCCAGACAGTCTCCCCACACTGAATTAGGACCCCTGTGGCCATGTGATCGCTAAACAGAGCGATCACATGGTCACAATAGGTGTCCATGTGTCTGCCTGCAGGGGGACTGTCTGTGCTGACAGGCAGTCTCCCTGCATGTGTAAAATCATAAAAAAAAAATAAAGTTAGTGTTTATAAAAAAAAAAAAAAAATTATATATGTGTATATAATATATATAATGTCATACTAAGTGTATTTTTATATTAATATGTACTTATATTAATATAAAAATACACTTATAATTAAATTACACACGTATATATATAATATATATAATAACTATATATATTGTATATGTATATATTATAAAATATAAATAATAAGTAATTTTAATTAAAAATTTTTTTTAAATAATAATAAAAAAAAAAAAAAATTATATATCTAAATGAAATTTTATTCTAACTGTATTTTAAAATTAATATATATATATTTATATCAAAATACACTTAGAATGAATTTGTATATATATCTATGTATATATAAATAAATAAAAATAATACGAAATATACATATGTCCATATACAAAATTACATAAATAATTATATAAATATACACGTAGATTTCAAATATATAAATATGCATATATATTTAAATTCTACGTGCGTATTTATGTAATATTTTTACATAATTAAGTAATTTTATTGATTGCAATTTGAGGAACCTGCCTGCCAACCCAGGCCGAAAGTCCAGAGAATTTAATTTGCTAGCACTGTATTTTACCCTGTAACGTTCTACGACACCCTAAAACCTGTACATGGGGGGTACTGTTTTACTCGGGAGACTTAGCTGAACACAAATATTAGTGATTCAAAACAGTAAAACATATCACAGCGATGATATTGTCAGTGAAAGTTACTTTTTTTGCATTTTTCACACACAAACAGCACTTTTACTGATGATATAATTGTTGTGATACGTTTTCCAGTTTTTAAACACTAATATTTGTGTTCAGCGATGTCTCCCGAGTAAAACAGTACCCCCCATGTACAGGTTTTATAGCATTTTTGAAAGTTACAGGGTCAAATATATGGGTCAAATATTTTTACATTGAAAATAGCCAGGTTGGTTACGTTGCCTTTGAGAGCGTATGGTAGCCCAGGAATGAGAATTACCCCCATGATGGCATACCATTTGCAAAAGAAGACAACCCAAGGTATTGCAAATGGGGTATGTCCAGTCTTTTTTAGTAACCACTTGGTCACAAACACTGGCCAAAATTAGCGTTCAATTTAGTTTTTTTACTTTTTTCACACACAAACAAATATGAATGCTTACTTTGGCCAGTGTTTTCGACTAAGTGGCTACTAAAAAAGACTGGACATACCCCATATTGAATACCCTGGGTTGTCTACTTTAAAAAAAATATGTACATGTGGGGTGTTATTCAGAGATTTATGACAGATAATAGTGTTACAATGTCACTATTGATAAATTTTAAAAATGTATGTTTTGAAACCGCAATATCCTACTTGTACCTATAGCCCTATAACATGCAAAAAAAAAGCACGTAAACACTGGGTATTTTTAAACTCAGGACAAAATTTTGAATCTTTTTAGCAGTTTTTTTCATTCGCTTTTGTAGATGAGTAAAAGATTTTTCAAGTAAAAGTCAAAAAACATGTATTTTTTTCAATTTTTCATCATATTTTTTTATTTTTTTTAAATTAAAATATATGAGATTATATAAATAATGGTATGTAAAGAAAGCCCCTTTTGTCCTGAAAAAAACAATATATAATTTGTATGGGAACAGTAAATGAGAGAGCGGAAAATTACAGCCAAACACAAGCACAACAAAAGTGTAAAAATATGCCTGGTCGCAAATGTACAACATCGCAAAAACAGTCCAGTCCTTAAGGGGTTAAGGAAAACTATAGTGTCAGGAATACAAACATGTATTCCTGACACCATAGTTATGAAAACGCTATTCACCCTGGCTTTATGTGATAATGACTATGCCCCTTCCCTTTCATGACACTGTCAAAAAGGGACCAAGCATGGATGTCATTACAATTATGCCCCCCCATGGAAAAATAATTGCGTACACCGATGAGTTTGTCCTCTTTTTTTTTTTTTTTTACTTTACAAGAATTGCAGATTGGCACTTTTAAATTAACCTTGTTACACCCGCCTGACTGTCAGACAACCAGTCCTGTTACTTCCTGGTAGTTTCTCAGTTGAGTTAAACTCAAGAGTCAATCAATACACTGAACACCTGCCTTGCAAAGACATCTCAATAACCTGCATTGGGAAGTTAATGAATGAACAATTAAAGAAAGCTAAGCTTGGGAAAAATGTGTGGGGATGCTTGCAAAGGCTGCAGACAAGAGATCTGTACCATCTGCAAGCTGTTTTTAGATAAACCCCCAATGTAAAAATGCATAATTAAATTCATGCATGTCTTCATAGGGGATACATCTACTAAATAGAATTGTATTTACTGTAATATTAACAGTGGTAAAAGAGTTAACTAATAACATTGTTTCCCTTTAGAAAAAGATTAACAAATTTCCATCATAAATGTTAGATATACAATATACAGCCTAGTTTATCAGCCCTTTGTACACAGCTGGTTGTGGGAGAATGGAGGCGGAGGCATTAAGGAATCATGTGATCTTCATGATCTTCCAATACTGCTCCCTGGCATGCTCGCAGTGATGCCAGGAGCTGGGTTATTACATCACTCGAACCTAGCATCACTAAATAGCTAGAAAGCATTTCTAGAACAGCGCAAAGATAATACAAGCCCCACACTGGACCCCGGGGAAAAGATCTCCACTAAATTCCAAAGGTTGGGAGGCGTAGAAAGAAATAATATTTTGTGAGTGTGTGAGAGAATATGTGTGTCTGTCAGTAAATGTGTAGTTCTGTAATTGGGGGAACTACCGCTGGTGCACCGGGGGCCCACACACTAAGAGTACCCATCGTTTGTCTCATGCACTTAAGGTATAGTTGTTGTTATAGTTATATAGTTGTGCTCAAACATTTGCATACTCTGGCAGAAATTGTAAAATTTTGGCATTGATTTTGAAACTATTACTGACCATAAGAACGGTGATCATATGAAACCATTTATTAGCAATTCTTCGGCTCTTTTTTAAATCATAATGATAGCCAAAGTCACCGAAATGGCCGTGATCAAACGTTTTCATTCCCTTGAATGTTTGGCCTTGTTACAGACACGCAAGGTGGCACACACAGGTTAATATGGCAATTAACGGTAAATTCCCCACACCTGTGGCTTTTTAAATTGCAATTAGTGTCTGTGTATAAATAGTCAATGAGTTTGTGAGCTCTCATTTGGATGCACTGAGCAGGCTAGATACTGATCCATGGGGAGCTGAAAAGAACTGCCAAAAGACCTATTTAACAAGGTAATGGAACAATTGGTTATTAAAATGTGGAAAATTCTGGGATTTCTTGCTACCAAGCCAAAGTCAGGTAGACCAAGAACAATTTCAGCCACAACTGCCAGAGGAATTGTCCGGGATACAAACAAAATCTCATAGGTAACCTCAGGAGAAATACAGGCACATACTTGAACACAAATGAGCTGCATAAGTTGCCAGAAAGAAGCCTTTACTGCACCAATGCCACAAAAAAAGCCTGGTTACAATATGCTCGACAATACCTTGACATGCCTTACAGCATCTGGCACACTGTAATTTAAGTGATGAGACCAAAATAAAGCTTTATGGTCACAACCATAAGCGCTATGTTTGGAGAGGGGTCAACAAAGCCTACAGAAGAGAAAAGAATACCATCCCCACTGTGAAGCACGGTGGTGGCTCACTGATGTTTTGGGGGGGTGTGAGCACTAAAGGCACAGGGAATCTTGTGAAAATTGATGGCAAGATGAATGCAGCATGTTATCAGAAAATACGAGCAGACAATTTGCATTCTTCTGCACAAAGGATGATTTTGGACTTTCCAGCATGACAATGACCAAGTTGACTTCCAGGGGTTACAGCAGAAAAAGGTGAAGGTTCTGGAGTGGTCATCACATCTCCTGACCTTAATATCATCAAGCCACTCTGGGGAGATCTCAAACGTGCAGTTCATGCAAGATGACCAAAGACTTTGCATGATCTGGAGGCATTTTGCCAAGACGAATGGGCAGCTATACCACCTGCAGGAATTAGGGGCCTCATAACTATTACAAAAGACTGCACACTCACATTGATGCTAAAGGGGACAATACACAGTATTAAGAACTAAGGGTATGCAGACTTTTGAACAGGAGTCATTTTTTTTAATGTTTTGTTTTACGATTGTGCCA